ACCCCGAACCATTAACGCCTCAGCCATGTCTGACACCGGATGCCAAAGCTGCCTTGCAGGCATAAAAGTCCTACATCGCCTTGGCCTGAAACGCAACGACCTCATACCTGTCACAATGAAAATGGAAACCGCTAACAACAAGGGTATAAACATCCTTGGTGCAACCATCTTGAGCTGAGGTATTCTGGAAAGGACAAAATCGGTAACGAAGTCGAGACCCATCAAGTCACCTGTGTTACCGACAGCTCAGAAAAGCTGTTCCTTAGCAAGGAAGCCTGTATCACCCTTGGACTTATCACGCCGACATTCCCAACAGTTGGCGAGACACACCACCGCACGACATGGCAGCTGACACCATCGGTGATGGCCCGGACCCGAACTACGACAGAGGAGATAACCATGACTCGACCAATACATGCGGCTGCCCCAAACACCAGCTGCCACCCACACTACCAACCACTCTACCTGTCCCTGCAACAGACGAGAACCGTGCCCGTTTACAGCAGTCCCTAATTGACTACTACAAGTCTAGTACGTTTAACACATGTGAATACCAACCCCTGCCAATGATGAAAGGACCTGCAATGAAACTTATGGTTGACCCAAAGGCTGAACCAGTCGCCCACCACACTTCCATTCCCGTCTCCATCCACTGGCAAGAGACCCAAGACCCAATGGTAGTATGCGCTAAGAAAAACGGCAAGCCACGGAGAACAGTTGACTTTCAGCCACTTAATGCACACGCTACACGTGAAACCCACCACACACGGTCGCCGTTTCATCAGGCCCGAGCTGTTCCGCATGGCAAGAAGAAAACTGTTTTCGATGCGTTGAACGGCTCCCACAGTGTACAGTATATGCCTTCTCGATGGCAAAGCGGATGCTTCCTTTCCTGTCAATTACTGAAGCCAGGAACACCATTTCGATGGGATGAACAGCTTAATGACATATTCGACAAGACCAAGCCCACATGCCTCGCCACTGACTGGTCAAAAAGGGGCATCGGATTCTGGTTGTTCCAGAAACACTGTGATTGCCTCCGTACTGAGCCTTTTTGTTGTCGCACCGGTTGGAAAGTTACCTTGGTAGGCAGCCGCTTCACTCATCCGGCTGAATCAAGATATGCACCAATTGAAGGTGAGGCTCTGGCAGTTGCCGATGCATTGGACAAAGCAAGATACTTCGTTCTTGGCTGCAATGATCTGACAATCGCTGTGGACCACAAACCCCTACTCAAGATACTCGGTGATAGAACCCTGGAGGACATCCCAAACGCCAGACTGAGGAACCTCAAGGAGAAGACGCTCCGATACCGGTTCCGCATCATTCACATACCCGGTGTCAAACATCGTGCTGCTGACACTGTATCCCGATACTCCACTGGCGATCGCTATCCCCTCAGAAGATCCTCCAAGACGTCCTCACCATCTCTGATGATTGCACTCATCACAATTCCTCGCCACACTTCGACATCGGCCACTCGCTCCTAGCCGGCATTCGTGCTAAGGACTACCCCACAGGAAATACTGGCGAGGACCTCGACGACATGATACGAATCGATGCCACCACTAATCTAAGCACACTAGGCCCACAGTGTATTACTTGGGACCGAGTGAAGGTCGCAACAAGTAGTGACCAGCACATGCATATGCTCGTATCTATTATTGAATCTGGCATACCTGATTTGCGAAAAGAACTTCCACCTTCACTTCGAGAGTACCACCAATTCCGGCATGACATGTACACAGTGGATGACGTAATACTCTACAAAGGACGTATCGTGATACCACCAGGCCTTCCCTCCGACAGGACGTACTAAATGCACTCCATGCAGCTCACCAAGGTGTATCATCAATGGTAGCAAGAGCAGAAACATCTGTATTCTGGCCTGGTATCACCCCTGCCATCACTGCCCTTCGAACCAGATGCAATCACTGCAATCGTATGGCGCCATCACAACCCAGCGCTCCGCCATATCCTCCGTTGCCTCCTGCTTGCCCATTTCAATGCATATGTGCAGACTACTTTCACTATAAAGGCGTCACTTACCTAGTTGTTGTCGATCGATAATCTAACTGGCCAATTGTAGAGAAACCATCGGAGGGCGCCAATGGTCTCATCACCAGCCTGCGCCGTGTTTTTGTAACATATGGCATATGTGACGAGCTTTCATCCGATGGCGGCCCAGAATTCACATCTACTGCCACTCGTGCATTCCTGAAGGACTGGGGCGTACACCACCGCCTCTCTTCAGTAGCGTTCCCACATTCCAATTGCCGAGCAGAGATTGGCGTGAAGTCTGCCAAAAGACTTATTACAAACAACACGGGACCAAATGGCGAACTCGATACCAATGCCTTCCAACGGGCCATGTTACAGTACCGCAACACACCTGATACGGACACTAAACTTTCCCCTGCCCTCTGCGTTTTTGGACGACCGATTAGAGATTTCGTCCCAGTCTTGCCTGGTAAATACAAGCCCCATGCTACATGGAGCAACACGCTCGAAAAAAAGAGAGGAAGCCCTCCGCAACAGACACATGCGCGCCACAGAACATTGGTCAGAACACACTAAGCGTTTACCACCACTTGTAGTCGGCGACATGGTTCGTATCCAAAATCAAATTGGCCCCAACCCCAGAAAGTGGGATAAGACTGGATCCATAATTAAGGTACGTCAGTTTGACCAATACGCTGTGAATGTTGATGGTTCTGGCAGGGTTACATTGCATAACAGAAAATTCCTCCGCAAATACGAGCCCGTGGTTCCGCCACCACGCCGCCTCACCATCGACAGTGGATTGCGCCATCATGTTTTCACTCGCCCGACACCCGGGGAACGTTCGACCCAACCACCAACACCACCTAAGCCGTCCACTCCACAATAGCAACCTACCATCGACGTATACACCAGCAGCATGACCCACCTAACGGCGCAGACATCAGTCCCATCGCTCAAGCAGCGCCAGCACTTACTGTAGTACGTCCTCCAGTGATGCAGACACTACCAGCGACAATACCACCATTGTCACCGCATTCGCCACCGCCTCGCACCATCCCACCTACTAACTTTAGACGTTCCGACCGTGTTCGAAAACCGCCTGTCTGGCATAAGGACTATAATATGACTTTGTGAGTCTTTGTCACATATCTTGTCAAAGACTGGGGGAGATAGAAAATAATGGAATGTAGGCAACACAGTTATAAGTGCACAAACTGTAATACTTAGGCATATTCATAATGTAATTATGTATTCAGGCACTACTAAAGTGGCGCCAGTTCGATATGGAGAACTGTGATCTATTTTAATACTCTAATAATGCAATGTCGCCCTCTTGAGTTCCAGCATTGTCATGTTACTTGATATTTGTGTTTTGTTGTTAAATAAAATTCAGTTGAATTTGACAAAGAGTTCGAATAATTATTTACTAATAATAAGCCACGCACGGCAATGAGAGCAAGAGCTGCAATAAAAAAAATAGAAATATTATAATTATTTGAATATTAGGACATTCATTGACACTCGGGCTGATACTCTACTAGACTATCATTATTATTATCATTTTTGTTTTTGTTATTATTATTACATTTTCCCAGGCAAACTACTGTTTCGCTATTTTTGGTACTCATTTTGTTTAAACAATACTAGGGTCGTTTTAGACAGATTATGATTATTAGTCACCGTTCTGTTCTGTGATTCGTTAACACACGTTGATTGTTTTTAACCAATCAGCTACGAGATCTCTTACACTATATAATTCGCAATAAATTGCTTCAAGAGGCATCATCTACGAATATTTCCTTTTTACATCTTTGATTGAACGCTAAATGATGGGACTGACGTCTGTACTCGCTTTCTGCTGCTGCCTTTCTCTTGCATTTTCGCAAGCGTGTAGCCCTGCTGTTTTCAATGTGTTCAACGGAGATGATGCCGGATGTTGTCCGCTTTTGTCTACTAAACTTGACACAATTTCATCTCAACTATCCAGAATTGAAGCCAGACTTAGTGGGCCACGATTTTCAGGTGAGTTTGGTGTAGAGTTTCTGTAAAACGTTAATGTGTAATGTTTTCTAAAATAAATAAATAAATAAGTAAACACTATGGATATTCTTTCGACATGGCATTAGGCTAGCAAGACTGAAGTTGAAGGTTAAGGTAAAGCCATTTATAACTTTTCCGTTATTGGGCAATTTTATACATGTTTGGCTGAGTACAACAACACTATCGATGAAGACGTAAAAACTTTGATGTAATGTTGACATTCTTTTTGCAATCTTCAACTGAGATAAACAAATATTTGATTTAAGTATAATTGACAATCATTCTGAAGGCTTTTATTTCGATGAAATACAGTATCAACATTAATAGCGGACATATTTTGATATTTAAACTTTAAAAAAAAATTGAAACTATTTTGATATGTGGTTTATATATGTAAACATCTTGCACAGGAGAAATAATAGCCAGAGATGATGTTGATTTCAATGCTATATTTATTCGGATAGGAACTAGGATCTAGGAATTATGAGAACATAAGACAAACAAAGCATAACTAGAAAAACCCCCAACTTGACCGGGCACTATGCCAGCATATGTCAAGCTTTCATTAGCTTCACGCTAAGATGTAACTTTCATGAGTCTTCAACAGTACTGTACGAGATTTACTGTAATGCCTTGCCTTGCATAAGCTAAACAAATACTCTACTTTCTTGACAACTAATTTTGCACGTCTTGACTCTGTGGTGGCTTCTGACTTTGTTGTGCCACAAACTTTCTTAATTGGACGCGCTAATACTATTTACAATAACCCACGGAATGAGCCTCCGCGCAATAGCAATCCTTTACACTCTTATTGTAATAGTATAAAGTTAATTTACATTCTTTACTAACAAGTTATTTGTTGAAATAAATATAACTGTCATGGATTTCTATCAAAAATACATTTATATAATAAAAACTACAATTAATAATGTGAACTCCTTATTCTTGCGTAGCAACACAGGGCTACTCACTCACTTAAGAAAAGCGTCTACGGAAGTCGTTACGTAACATGATCAAGATAAACATGGTATTAATTATCAAGAAGTCAATGTGAATGTGATGAACAAAGAAACCCAAGTTAAACAAAGAAACAACTGAAATCCAAAATAAAGTCATAAGGAAATGAATAAAAATTCAACATGTAATATAATGTACAGTATAAGGATAAGGGTAAAACCCGTACCTTACATACTCCACAGCTTTGTTTGTTGTCGTCCTCGGCAACATTATCAAAATCCAATTATACGAAACAGTCATATAAAAATAATAAGAAAAAAAATGAAGAAAAAAATAAAATTCTGCTTTCACACACTCCATAGCTTTGTCTGTTGTCGTCCTCGGCAACATCAATAACATCAGAGTTTCTTTAATTGTTTTCAAATTGTCCTGCTAACATTTGTGCGAATAAAAGCTGTGTCTTGCTAAACTCTGCCAAAATTGCATTATTCATTGAAATTTGTTGATTACTGGAGTTAGGAAGGGTTTGTTTTTCTACTTTTGCTTTGATTCGTGATGAACGCCTAAGCACTAAGTCTTCTGTTTCGTTATCAGACTGATTGTTGACACTAACATCGTTATCCTTAGCAATGCTGCCTTGTAAATCTGAACGTAGTCTATGAATAACTTCTTTATTTTGAATTAATTGCCCTTCATTATCTATATTTACAATTCGACTAACAGGAATAATTGGCTTTATATTATTCTGCTGTTGGGCAGGAACAGGATGTTGTGTGTCTGTGCAAACAGGTTGTGCCTCAGTATTTTGTGGTTCCATCGGATCACGTTCTCCTACATCAACTGGTTGCTCTGTAATCATAGGTTCTACAGCCTGTGGTTCAATAGAAGCATTCGTCTTGTTACTTTGAGGATATAATAATACCTCATATGGTCCGCCTGAATCTACATCCGTAGAGGTAATTTGTTCGTCTATTTCAGGTGATACATTATGCATGTCGTCTTCACGTTGGGAAGGTTCCGTGTTTGGTTTCTCTAACTGACTTTTATTTCCAAGGTCTCTAGCTAGTTCTCTCGAGTCTAATAATTCTTTCCTGTGAACTGTTTTAGTTGGTCCTCTCTCCGTCAATGGTTGTATGGTGTATACATTGCCATCCGGATGATTAGGTCGGTCGGTCACAACATAGGGTGTAGGTAACCAGAAGTCCTGGATTTTATTGCGGCCTAAGGGATGATTTTTAAGAAATACTCTCGCACCAACCTGGAGATCTGTGTCATCTGCTGTGCGGTCATTTCTGTCTCTTCTTGCAAGAGCTTGCTTTTCCGTTTCTATTGAAGCGCTTTTAAATGCTCTTCGGAGTCTATTGTGATGTTCAGCAACCCATTCTTCTACACTACTACTACTTTGACCTGCATCTACTCCGCTACCTATAATGTGGTCGATGGGTAGTTTTGGTTCGCGCCCGAAGAAAAGGTAATATGGTGAATAACTAGTTGATGAATGGGGTGTGGCATTATAAGCGTACAGTAGTTCCGGTAAGTGATCCGGTCAGTTTCTCTTGGCTACAGGTTCTAACGTACGTAATCTATCATGCATCGTCCGGTTGAAACGTTCACACTGTCCATTTCCCTGAGGATGGTAGGTGTTGTTCTTGATTTTGTGATATTATACAGTCGACACAATTCTTTTATGACACTGCCTTCAAAATTACGTCCTTGGTCACTATGGAGCCGGTGAGGCACTCCAAATCTCACAAACCATTCTCGAACTAAAACTCTGGCAACTGTCGTCGCTTTCTGGTCCCTTGTGGGGATGGCTTGCGTGTATTTGGTAAAGACGTCAGTCATTACTAAGACATTTTCAAGATGCCAGGTTCCAGTGTGGTGAAGTCGATTGCGAGCACTTCCAGTGGGCGCTTAGCTATTAGTGAACCCATCAAAGGACGTATTTTCTTTCCTGCTTTTGCGAGGGTACAGCGGGAACAAGTGTCGCAGTATTTCTGGATTTCGTCAACCATTCCTGGCCAGTAACACCGTCGACGAGTAAGAACACTAAATCCATTAGCCGCATGAAGGTTGCAGGTGCGTTGCATAACCCAAAGGGCATGCGAGTGAACTCGTATAAGCCACCCGTTCCAGTTCTGAATGCAGTTTTCTCGATATCACCTTCCTCAATTGGTACTTGGTGAAACCCATGAGCAAGGTCGAGGCTGCAAAAGTATTTGGCCCCCTTCAGTGCATCCAGAGCCTCTTCTATCCGTGGCAGAGGGTATGCATCTTTGTGCGTCTTCTCGTTTAGTGAACGGTAGTCCACACAGAGCCTTAGCTTTCCATCCTTCTTTTAACAAGTACGATAGGTGAGGCATACGGACTTGAGGATGGTCGAATGACACCTTTACTTATTGATTTCTCGATGTATTCACGAACCTCATCCCATTGATGCGGTGGGACTCTTCTGTGGGGTATCTTGACAGGTTTCTGGTCATTTAAGATTATCTTATGTTTGACTTCACTGCAAAACCCAATGTCATCTTCGTCTTTGCTAAATACATCTTGGTGTTTGTTGACCAATCCCATTAGTAGGTTATGTTGCTTATCATCGAGGTCCTTACTAATATTCATTTTTGACATCAGTTCGCTAACAGGTTTGCTACCATTTACTTGAACTTCTTGTAATTCTGCACTAATAGTTTGGTACTCGAAGTAAACATCTGGTTCTGGCTGTGCACTAGTGACTTTAGCAACTGGTGTTCTGGGCTGTAAATAAATATCGGTATCTGCAAAATTTGCTATCTGTAATGGAAGTCGGCCACGTTGATTTACCTCAACCAATGTCGGTGCAACAGTTAACCCATTTTGCAATTCGTAACAACTATTTTCTTCTACAATTGCTTCATACACACCCATCTTAGATGATGATGTCGTACAGCTTACCGTTTTCAGTGTTCTGGCTGGTATAAGTATAGGCTTGTCTCCAGCTATTCGAACAAGTCTGCTAACGTCAGGAGGTTGAACTGCTCCGGCCACTTCTTCATACAAAGCTAGTGCATGAATTAGATGTTTATCTTCTTCAGATATTCCTGATATTGCATCACCTAACTGCATATGTACCACTTTTCTTCATATCTCTTAATACAAACTTGCCTTTTCCTCTCAGCAAAGGGAGAACCAATTACATCCTTCACTACTAAGAAACCTATGTTGTCGAATTGGTGACCCATAGCCTGGATAGACACCTCTATATAATCAATGTATGGAATCTCAAGTCCCTGAGCTCCAGAAATCTTCAAATGCGAGGAAACATCTTCTGTCTCTAAGTGGGCTAGATGTCTCTTGTAGAAGCTCTCTGTCATTGTGGAAACCTGGGCTCCTGTATCTATTAAACATCGAAGATTAACATTGCCAAGTAAAACAGTAATTTCTGGACATCGACCTACAGATTTGGTTAGAAATGAGTCGTCAGTTGAGCAGCCCATCGCTTGACTCATAGCGTGGGGCTCACCTCGTTTAAAGAATTGTATGTGGGCCGGCTATGTGTTGTTGATCGGGTTCTTCTTGGACAGTTTCGCTTAAGGTGTCCACTCTCGTTGCATATGTAGCAGCGGCGATCCTGTCTCGGTGAATTCTGTTGCCATCTCGCCGTGTCTGGTACTGGTATACTTGGTTGCCACCTAGCCTGTTCTTGTCGTGGTGCAGTGTATTGCCACCTAGTTGGCATTGAATCTCACTTTACAAGTTGATCGTGAAGCCTGTCGATTTGCTTTTGTTGTGTTTCCAACTGTGCATTTTGCTTCTTCAGCAACTCTAACATGTTGGTTTCTGCCGATACTGTCTTCACAGTAGCTTCTGTTGGGCTTTTTCCCACATCACCTAGCCAGGCTACTGCTCTGTCTCTGAGTTGAAAGTAGGATAAGTCAGGTGATTCAATATTCAGACGTCGTAATTCTCGCTGAAGGTTGTTATCTAAAACTGCCTCAGCCAATCTGCTCTTTAAAGATGCCTCTCTGCATGCCTTATAAGCATTATCACGTATGACAATAGAATCATAAAGGCTTACCAGCTCTAACGAACAGCATAGTAGGTCTTGGTTCGACGATTGCCTGTAGGTAAAAAACTTCTGCTGGAGTTGTGGAAGATCGTCTCCGTCGCCAAACACTTGTAACAATATTTCTAGTATCCGTTTAGGGTTGTCTTCAACTTCCTTTCCCCTACCGTTTATTTCCTTCCTAGCGTAGCCAGCTAGATTCTCTTTAATGAAAGCAACAGCTCCCTTTGGCGTCAAGCATCTCATCTCTAATTGTGCACGCACGTCTGCTACCCAGTCTTGTACATTTGGCTCAGATGACTTCGTAGGTTTGCCATGGAATACCTCTAACCTTCGACCAGGTGAAACATAAACAGCTTTAGATGCATTTGCTTCCTTCCGTTTCACTTCATCCCTAGCCTCTTCCGCATCAATTCGAGCGCACTTCTAAGAGATTCTATTTCTTTCTGCAACGCCTCCATATCTATATCTGGTATCGTTACTTTGGATAAAAAATATGTTAGTACACGTACAAATTAATAAATAAAATTATAATATAACAGTAATCTGTAACTTGGGTCTTGGCTTCCAGCGGTGCGGTGAACTTTACTTGTCGCTAGAGTCCAACTTCTGTTCTGGTCCGCGTTGCTTTGGGTTGGTTAAACGTTGAGATCCGGGGTCCAAGTTGGGGGCATGCTCTGTCTAGATCCTAATCTGTGGTTCCTATCCTGCCGACTACGCCATTTGTAAACATCTTGCACAGGAGAAATAATAGCCAGAGATGATGTTGATTTCAATGCTATATTTATTCGGATAGGAACTAGGATCTAGGAAATTATGAGAACATAAGACAAACAAAGCATAACTGGAAAAACCCCCAACTTGACCGGGCACTATGCCAGCATATGTCAAGCTTTCATTAGCTTCACGCTAAGATATAACTTTCATGAGTCTTCAACAGTACTGTACGAGATTTACTGTAATGCCTTGCCTTGCATAAGCTAGACAAATACTTTACTTTCTTGACAACTAATTTTGCACGTCTTGACTCTGTGGCTTCTGACTTTGTTGTGCCACAAACTTTCTTAATTGGACGCGCTAATACTATTTACATTAACCCACGGAATGAGCCTCCGCACAATAGCAATCCTTTACACTCTTATTGTAATAGTATAAAGTTAATTTACATTCTTTACTAACAAGTTATTTGTTGAAATAAATATAACTGTCATGGATTTCTATCAAAAATACATTTATATAATAAAAACTAGAATTAATAATGTGAACTCCTTATTCTTGCGGAGCAACACAGGGCTACTCACTCACTTAAGAAAAGCGTCTACGGAAGTCGTTACGTAACATGATCAAGATAAACATGGTATTAATTATCAAGAAGTCAATGTGAATGTGGTGAACAAAGAAACCCAAGTTAAACAAAGAAACAACTGAAATCCAAAATTAAGTCATAAGGAAATGAATAAAAAATTAAACATGTAATATAATGTACAGTATAAGGA